CAACTGGTTGGAGGAAGCCAAATCGCGTACTGCCTACTTCTATCAACAAGGGGGTGGTCCCGCAAATTGGGTCTTGAACCAGGGGAAAAACATTCCGGCCGGCGCTATTCAAGTCGGTAGAGAAAAGTCCTGGACTTTGTATATTTGCAGGGCGTTTTATGAGGTATGTTCATCTTCGGACTGGGGTCGTCTTGCCCAATGTAACCATACGTGACAGGGGGGCCTCAGTTAGTTCTCATTTTTTTATCCTGCGGCTAGTCCTACCTGACATGGAATCGTCCTTCAAGTCGTTGGTAAGGCGTCCGACGTGTTCAAGAAAGGAGCGGTTATTGGCTTCAAGGACAAAGAGATTCAAGTAAGAGACAACGTCGCTCACCATCATGTTTATATTGATTTTGCGACGTCAGCTCGATACTTACGAGATCCTCGTTGGTAACATGCAAGGACTTCGCTGGGTGTCGGCTCATGGCAGGCTTAATCTTGCGGCTCTCGGCGCCAGACCAGTTGAAGGTGGTCGTGAGCCGGATGGTACTCCCATTTACATTGCCAAGGCGCCCCATAAAGGTGCTGAACACCCAGGTAAAGCAAGCGAAAGACTTGACGGTGCGCCTTGTATCTCTGTATCCGAGAAACAATCTCCTTATGCCTCCACTAAGGTGCCGTAATCCCGTATGATGGAGGTGAGAAACAGATCAAAGTAAGAAGCAAACTCTTTAGCATGACTACAACTGAAGTTGTCTCTCAGGAATACCAAGTTCTCTGCTATTACAATTAGAATACCGACACCTGCAGTGGGGTTGTATGTTAACATAGTGTGAAGTAGGTCTCGCCCATGTACCAGATATGCACGCAAATTTTGAATCGAACAATTACATAAACGTTGTTGTGGTGGATCCTAGCGAACTGTGGGGAACTTTCAGTTCATATTATTCAGGTTTCATTATATTGCTGATAACGAAATTCAGGTGCGAGATTCGTAGAACTACATATGTCTACCATGCCTCTGTGTCCTTGACAAGATGACGGTTGGCGTCTTCCTCAGCCAACTGCACATTATAGTTGTAGACGATCAAGCAAGCCCCTGGATACATCACGGTTAGAGACCTCTGGCGATCGGGCTTTTGAAAAACCTTACAAATTTCAACCAGCCACGCAACGATGAACACTCCAACCATGACACCTTTCACCAATTTAGCCCCATCTTGGCAACTCTTGAGGAGGGCGGGGTCTGCAGAACCACTAGCACACTCTTTGATGTACTTGGGTGCGTCTTTGAAGCTCTTGTGGATCGCATACATGCCACCAGCCATGCTGAAAATGAGATGGGCCACGAGCATTCCAAAATAAACTCGGACAAGAGTGAGTTTCCTGCCGATGGCACCAATCAGACTGGGGGGAGATATAAATCAGCTGCGCTCAAAACTGATCCGGAGAGATAATGTACCCGAAAATTGAAAGGATGGTCAAGGTGATATAGACAACGATCTGAATGATGGTCGCATTTCTGCTACCCTCTGAACAGCAGTCAGCTTTTGATTCACAAAAAAGAAAAGAAAACGGCCATACCATCTTTTTTCAGGTTAATAATTCCGACTACAGAGACGGCACCACCTCCTAGTAAACCGAGGAGGCCGAGTAACTGGGAGGAGGGCGAAATTAGTCAGATACTCAAACCACATGCGTGTTCAACTCACGATAACGCCAGCGCGGACGGGAATGCAGCAGCAAAATGTGCGAGTGGTAACGGTCGTCATGTTGAATAAGGATGTGTGCGTCGTAAAAGGTCGTTGAATAGAGGTCAACTCTTGAGATAAATTGGGGAGAGCTTGTGTGCGTGCGTGGGGGTTAGGACCAGCCTATCAAGGAGACATCACAGAGGGCTCCGCATTATATGGTCTTTCGGCCATTCGGAACAGGTAACCAAGGCAGTGCTCCGGCGGACCAGCGCCTGAGCCGAGAATTCTGATGGCAAATTGTGGGTCATCAAAAGGCGATGCAACCAGGAGACTCCAGGAAGACGAGGCAAGTTTCAGGCATTTCACAGCCTTCCCATATTATAGTACACACAGCCAAGGATGCATTGGCGTCATTATCCTACACACACACATGGTTAACATAATACAAGGGTAGTTTCAATCCAATACATATTCGCTGCCTAATAATACGCTGGGTCAGAGCTTCTTGAACGTCGATGATGGCTGCGATGCTTGTGTTTTTTGCGCGGTTTGTGTATCACTATCGTTTGCGATGGTGGTACTCCAACAGGCATGCCCGCGCTCATCGCAGATCCCATATAAGCTTGTGGGTACGACACAGAAGAACTGTGGCTTCTGGAATGGCCTGGTATGACCATGGGCATTGATGAGCCCTGATACGACGGGGAGACGCCCATCGGCATGGAGGGCGAAACACCCATCGGCATGGACGGGTCATGGTACATGGAAGGGCTCATCCCCAAGGGCATCGAAGACCCTTCATATGCTGAGCCATATGCTGAGCCCACTCCCATGTGCATCCCGCCATTGGGATAATACGGAGTTCCAGGAGGATAAGAATTTCCAATGCTAGGTATCTGCATCCCTCCACCGTAAGATCCATAGGAACCAGCTGATTGCCCTTGATATCCTCCCATGGAAGAAGAGTACGCAGTGCCAGGAAAAGACATATGATGTTGAGAAGAGTGAGAACGGTGACGAGAGTGAGAGCGATGCCGATGGCCGGAGCGTGAGCGTGAATAAACCCGATCGTCATCATAAGCATAAGGGTCGTCGTGGAAGTCATCCCTGTGTCGGGAACGGGAGCGACGCCCACCATCTCCTCCCCCACGATCCTAAAGATAAAAACAGTCAGCCATCTATTGTGAAGGTCTTGCTGGCACTAACCTCGTAGAAGATATATGAAGCGGTATGGGCTGCGGCGTCTGACGCTGCCATTTGGGCATAGCTATCCATTTGCCGTGAAGAATAATTCAACAAGCGAGCAGCTACAAAGAGGATCAGTTGGCAAGTCCCAAGAGCGGACTTGGAGCAACACACCTTCTGCGACTGCAAGACCAATGAATCCTTCCCTCTGCCTCTCGAAATCGCTGCTCAGGGGTTCACGAATAGAGCTGTTATGGGTCCAAGTACGATAAGCTTCGTAAGCTGCTGCATGTCCTATTTCCGTAGGAGACATGAGGCTGAGCTCGTTCTAAGCATCGCGAGTCAGACCAAGTACGGTATAATTGAATAGACGTGGAAGTCGACCAACCATTCCACCATATGCACGACGATGCCAGTGTCTCGCTTCATGCATTCCGACGCCTCCGGAATCAATAGTTGAGGGCCTATAATCCCTGACCCTGCTCCAAGCGTGGTCAAAAAGAGACCTATCAAAACCTGGGATAAGAAAGTGACTGGAGGAGAGAGTAGTCTGCATGTCGTGCTCACGGATCGGGACTTGGAGCGTGGGCGCGATAGAAGTCCATGCCTCCCCCTGATATATAGGTGAGATTCAAGTGCCTCGTGTTGAGGAGACGCCGTGACTTACATGAGGGTTGAGGTTGAAAGTTTGGGGTCGGTGGAGGCCCAAACTGATACTAGTACGAGAGTGAAAGGGGTTTGCAAGAGGGAAGTGAAGGGCATTACCTGGCTTGTCCCCCAACCTGGTCTATTACTCTGTTTGTAGTAGCCGTAGGCCATGATAGTTGTGGAGAAGAGGCGCGCTTAAGACTAGCATGGTACTTATAGTGCATTGATTGGAGTGATGACATAATCCTTGCACTCCACTTCAATGTCTGGTCAGTCGCGTCAAAGTCCCTGTTTTCATTCCTGCTCATCGTCGTCTCCAGATTACTCCGTCTTTGCCACTCCAGATTTTAACCCAAATGAATACGCAAATGCAATTCTTGCGGGCGAGCCCTATCCAGACCAAAAGTACACAAAGCTGTCTATACAGGACCCCATTGCAAAGGAGGACATCTCTGTCGCCATTTCAAAACTTACATCTGGAATTGACGATGTGGCAAAGCAAATAAAGCAATTAGTCCGCCTTTGACGCCTCCGATACTCAATCAAAGGTCTCATCTCAATCACAGGTTACCGCTCACCACGAACAGTTTCTCTTGCAAGCCGCCAGTGCAAACGCGCTCTCGGGATCACTTTCTTCGGTTCGCTCCAATTTGTCAGATTTGAATGCGTCTGTTGAAAAGTAAGACTGGCGTTTTTTTATCTGCAAAGTACCAATTGTTTTCCTCTATAGGCTTCGTCTCAAAGTTCATGTTCCTTGCGATTCACTGCAAACGTTGGTATCAAGACTAAAGAAGCTTCAACAGGCCTGTGACGTTCTCCGTCGTACATCTCGTTTTATCATACTTTCCCGAAGACTACAAGTGCAAATGAACGAAATGCGCGGAATAGGTCCAGACACCAGCACCACCTCCATCAGCGATGATGCCATCCCGTTAACATCTGAAGGCTTGAGCCATGATTCTGAAAACGAAAAAGAACGCGTGGTGGCAAAAGCTGCCTTGAGCATAGCAGAACTAGGTCAAACCATTTCCTTTCTTCGTTTGATTTCGCTGAGTAAGTAGGCTCTGTAGCGACATTGCTGGACGGACTGGCACATCACTCGAAACAGGCATCAATTGACGGGGGTCAGATTGACATTTCGGACCCATCTTCATTACGTTCGATCACCGTCGTCGCAGCACGTGTCACTTTTATTGAAGAAGCTCGCTCGAAAGTGACTAACGAGATGGAGAACATGGTGGTGATGGGTCTTTCAACATTGGTGAGTGTTTACTGCCTGCCATGTTTTTTTTTACACAGCGAACATTGCATCACCTCAACAGAATCAAACACTTTTAGCATCATCTCTTCAAATAGCATTCAATCTTAGGGTCTTGCCATCACTTGTGCAGAATTTGGTATCTGATCTTTCCCATACAGTGGATGACAGGATACGAGGGGCGTTTGATTTATCAAAGATATCGAAAGATGTAGTGAGTAAAGGTGATCCTCGTTCGAATGTCATTTTCAGTATCACATTTGATGACGAGTCTCCCTTCAGACTCGGGAAGTAATCCTCCATCCCCACAAATTTATCGATCACGAGTCAGAACAGAGCCGACAAACGTAACTGCACCTCAGTGGACTGCAGCACTCTGGCTTCGACTAGAGGCTATGTTCCAAGCAATGGCAGATTGTTGCATAAAAGTAAGACTAGTCTTCTTGTATGCCTTCATCTCCAATTATTGCATCACGCTAGGTAAATGCACTGGAGAAAGTTTTAAAGTTGAAGAAAGATATCACCACACATGTCATATTTCTTGACGAGGCAATGAAGGTGCGCCAATCAGTTGCCATGCACTGCAAACGTTGACCTGTTGTCCAGCTCCTGGAGAACACGCCTAGTGCAATTTTTTGGACTTCCCTGAGTCGATCACTTGAGAAGCACTTGCGAGATTCGGCAAAAGGTTTTTAGTATCATACTCTCTTGATTTACCCATTGATCGGCGCGACAGCATCAAGTTTTCTCCAACAAACTCTTAGCTCGGGTTATCCCAAATTGCTACGCCTGTTTCACGATTTTTTTGGCAAAATTGCTGTTCAAACCGACACAATTTATATTGATGCTTATCAGAGGTAATTATTTTGTCTGAGTTAGTATTGCTTGCTGACAAGTTGCAGCCCGGAAGCTATTTTGGTTCTGCGTGCTTTGTCAAACATCGAATCCATGTATCTCTCGAGATCGACCAACAGGATGAACGAAGCGGCAGGCCAGGCTTTTGCTGGTGGAAACCGAATGCCTCCAGGATCAAGTGAGGGGATTAATCTGGCACGCACGATTGTGAATGAACTAGATTCGGCTAAATTTGATCCACTATTGGTCAAAGCTGTTGCCAAAAATACCGTTTCTTGTTTAGAGTTGACACTATCGAGGGTGGATGGTGTGGTATGAGCTTCCTCTGCCTGTGCTGTGCATTATTCTTATTCGCATCACCAGACAGTGAGAGACCGGAGTGCTGTGTCATTATTGGGACTGTCTGCGACACCACAACAAGTATCTAACGCTCATCTCGCTACCTTCCTCGAACAAACATGGTCGCGACTTGTCAAACTTGGCAATGAACACTCACCACTAACTTTCAACTTGCTCCAGCCAAGCATACAGGTCGGTTTTGAGAGTCGACAATCTGATCGATATTGAAAGGTTCTCCAGAAACTGCGCCAAGCTTACGAGAATCTCATCGACCCCATGAAAACCGCCATACGGCGTGAGCTCAGTGCGGTTATTGCCAAGCTGCATCGAATCGATTTCGCAAAGTCCGTAGATCCCATGTCAGGGGGTTCCAGCCCCTACATGAAGGAGCTAACGGAGAAACTCGCATTCATCAAGGCGGAGATCATCAGTAGATATGACATTGATGACTCTGGTTGGTCATGGTGGGTGTCTTACCCCCTACCCAGTGTTCTTATTGACCATTGTCACAGGACGGTCTCGATTGTGAAATATACCATCAAGATTTTCCTGCTGCACATTTCGATTGCCAACCCCCTCGGAGAAAGTGGCAAGCTTCAGATGACAAGCGACATGACTGAATTAGAGTTTGCGTTAAGCGCTTTTTTAACAGGTGGAACACAAAACAAGCGTGGAGGGAGCCTTGAGGGCATTGGTGATGAATACCGGGCCCTTCGCGCGATGCGGTGAAATTCAATTTTCACTAATGAAAGGGCAGACGCTCATAAATAAGCCAGACCACTCTTGTTCCTTGAAAACAGTCAGCTTTCCTCGGCGCAGCATACTGCTGGGCTGCCAGTTCTGATTGTGCTACATCACATTCTGGTGCGTTCGCCTATGCCGTTGCCTCATGAGTTGCACGGCTGGCAGGCGGCGGAGTATGTGAGATGGCTGGATGAACACACCGAAGAAGAAGCTTTGACGCTTATAGATGGTGGACTGACGCACTGGGAAAAGGTGTCTGAGGAGGACGAAGGGGTTGAATATTTGAAGCTCGCTCGAAGTGTAATGAAATTACATAAGCTAGAGTAGACTTTTTTTGTGACTCCCATGGCGGCCCTTCGAATCTACAAAAATATCTTGTCACCGTCGCGCACAGCGTCGCCAGTCATTTCTTTGCGTCTCTTCTCTTCCACGTCCTACGTCCGCCGTCCGGACAACTTGCGACCACCCCAACCTCCCAAGCCCATTGACGACTCAACTTCTGCTCTCGACTACAAGAGGTCGCAAAGACTACGCCCGCCACCGCTCCCAGCTACTGACTTGCCACGGTCCAGGAGCGCGGAAGAGGCTGTTACCAACATTCTTTACAATACCCCACCTCCAAGTCTCCAACCTTTCAAAAAGTATGCCTTTCCAACATTTTCAATACTCTTCTGAAAACTACCTCCCTAGACATATTTTGAACTGCCTTGTGCAGAATGAACCCGGGGTTCTTTCCCGAGTGTCAGGAATTCTCGCTGGCAGAGGGTTCAATATCGATTCATTAGTTGTTTGTCGCACAGAAATTCGCGACCTTAGTCGGATGTGTATTGTCCTCAATGGACAAGATGGCGTTGTCGAACAGGCGAGACGGCAATTGGAGGACCTCGTGCGTCTGTCTCTTTTTCATTGTTTGGGATTGCTCTTCTGACGGTTCATTGCAAGGTGCCTGTTTGGGCTGTCTTGGACTATACCGAGACCAATGTCATTTCAAGAGAACTCCTGCTTGCCAAGGTATCCATCCTCGGTCCTGAATACTTGGAGGAACAACTCGTCGGCGGACCCTCTCATGAGCCAAGGAGAGCTATCTTCAATCACGATGACTCTTCGAAAATGGAGCGTGAAACCGCACTAGCGCATAATTTTGAGCGTAGCGCACACCCGAACCAATTCAGTGAATCATCTGCATCCCCAATCACGCCATCCCAGGCTCTTCGCCTCAAGCATCAACATCTTCATTCTATTTCTGTTCTGGCAAAGCAGTTTGGAGCCAAGATTGTCGATGTCAGTGAAAATAGTGTGATTGTGGAACTCACTGCAAAGACGACGAGGGTGGAAGCCTTCTTGAACTTGCTCAAACCCTTTGGAATTCTTGAAGCAGCTCGTACAGGTACCAGTCGTTTCCAGCTATGATTGCAGCGTGACCCTGACTCTGGATTCCAGGATTGATGGCTATGCCGAGGACTCCTATCAGGACAGATGAGGACGACACTGTTCCGCTGGAAGAAGGTGGCGGGGTTGATGCAAGTCTACTTCCTCCTGGTTGAAACAAACGTAGGACATATTTGTGGCGCATTGATTCGGAAATGCCTACAAACACGTTGCATGACCTGTATGTAATAGGCGCGTTAGTGGTACCCAATTAATTTGCGCTCAGATAATCAGGTGTTCGAAGCGAGGTTTGAACTGTGAGATTGTTTATTGTGGCATCAAATCTTGTAAAGGACAATGGCAAAGAACAATGAGTGTGAAAAGTATTGCCCATTGTTCGTTGCTTCGTATTATCAGGGTCAATGCCCACAACAAAAAGTACAGGTGATACGTTTTCATTTTCGTTGTAAAGTACATTGCAGGGGATGAAATAATAAAATAATGCAAGGGGTCATAATGCATGCAGATGTGGACGGGGGAGATAAAGGTATACAGATGTGGTTGGTTGTGTAAAGCGTAGTATAAACTAGGGGTCAATCCTAATGGTAGCAAGGGTTCATGATAATAGTAGGGTGAGATAAACCAGAAAGATGGTCGATCGACATCGTCAAGCAGACAGCAAAGATAACCTATGTGCAAAGCAAAAGCAGGATAAGCAAGATAGCAAAGATTAAGAAAACAGAAGAAAAAGCATCGAGATCGAGATTGATAAACAAAAATAAGGGAGTTGAAACTTTCTAGTTTGCTGGTACACCCCAGGCGAGCGGGTTGTGCTCAATGGGCGAGTCAGGCACAGCAGATATTTTCCAACTACCGGCGGCGCGGCGATTGGAGGAGTGTACAGCACCTGCAGGTGGCACATATGGAGTTGGGTGGTGGATTTCGTGCTCTGAAACGACTTGGAGTTGGGTGGAAGGGGTGGGTGGCATGGATGAGAGAGGAACGGAGTCATCATAAGTGATAAATTCTTCGCCGGCGAAAGAGCCCATATCTGACAGGGCCATGTCCGGGGAGAAGAATGAGAAGTCGGATTGGTCGGTGGACGCCATCTGCCCTTCAGAGCCATAACCATGCAAGTTAAATCCGAATCCATTGAAAGAGTTTCCAAAGTATGATTCGGCTTCATAGTTTGTGGGGATCTGTCCAATGGATAGCTCAAGCTGACCGGTAGGGTTGGCGTTGAGAGAATTCGCGTCAAAGTTGTGAACTTGAAAAATGGAAGGGTCGTCTGTCGCTGACAACAGCGCTTGAAGTGAGTCTTCAACAGTCGGGTTATACCATGGCTGAGGCGGCATGGGGGGTATGTCGAAGGATAATGGTATCTGAGAGAGTAAATGGTAAGGCTATGTCTACAAAAATGTTTTGGTCACGTACAGAGGTGTTGCTCGAAGAGGATTGGCCACTGTGCCAGTCTTGGGTAGATAAAGTTGTGGTGGATGTCATGACACTCGAGGTCATCAAAGAAGATGAGGTCGTGCCAAAAAGGTTATTGTGGCCAAGACCGTGGCAGGCTTGGACGTTGACGCCATTATTGGAAGATTGGGCAACTTGCTGGTCGTCCGATGGATAAGCAGCGTCTGAAAGAGGACTACTTTCGTTGGGCGACGAAGAAATGGAGAGTGGAGGTGATGTACCAAATGGTCCATATTGTGCATACACCTGTTGCTGAGACTGCGATGAATCCACCTGTGGATATAGGGTGTGGGGGGCATATAGAAGCGGAGCAGCATTCGCGATGGTGGCCGGGACAGCACTCGCAGACGTGATGCGGACAGTGGGACGAGTGCGTTTAGCTAGACGTTCGTTGTCCTTTTCCTGCTTTCGCTTGACACGAGCAGCCTCTTTCTCCTCCTTCTTTTTGGGTTGAAAGCGATAACCTGGGTATTGCTTCTGATGCTCAGCCTTTTTCTCATCAGCGCGTCGCTCATAGATGGCACGCGTCGCCGCCGGCTCGTCTTTCCACATGGCGGAGATCATTTTGGACACCATTCCTTGGGGTGGAGGGGGTTGGCCCGCAGCACGAGCCGTAATCATCTTCGTTTTCTCTGAACGATAAATGATCCAGGCATTTGGCGGGCGAGGAGCATGAACGACAGAAGTTGGAGGGGTGGGATGCTTGGTACGAATGGGCCCAGCCATTGAGGGAACAGGAGTGAAGTCGTTAATGATGGCGACGTGAAGGGGTTGTGGACGTCGCAAACGACGACGACGAAGAGATAAAAATGAAGAGGATGATGGAAGAGTGAGAGAAAACTGTTGATTGCTGTTGAATATTGTTGATCCCCTTATGGCCGTAATTGTAGGTCCATATTTTCATTTGTTTATGAATGCACGTGACGTTCAAGATTGACGATCGATACAAGTACACAGCAAAAAAGAAGACACTGTCAAGCTAAAGCCAAAGGCGCCTAATACCCGCCGCCTCCTCCTCCACCTTGATAACCGCCTGTACCCCTTTGTATTAGACACAGTCCTTGTGTAGATTTATCTTGTGCTCACCGTATCCGCCTTGACTGTAGCCACCCTGTTGGCCCCCATAGCCGCCGCCGCCGCCTTGTTGTCCATATCCACCGCTTTGCCCGCCATAGCCGCCGCCGCCAGAGTAGCCGCCTCCTGAACCTCCTGAATTCACTTGGTAAATTATTTGTGGCCCGTTAAATCACACTTACCGCCATAGCCACCTCCGCCACCACCAGAGTATCCTGTGCGCTGAAGTCAGAAGCGTAACGTGGAAAATGCTTCAGATACACAGACCTCCTCCACCACCTCCGCCTCCACCCCTGGCGTTAGCAAGGTTGACCTTGATGCGTCGCCCATCAAGTTCCTGTTCATTCAAACCACCGATCGCAGCATCGGCCTCCTGGCCGGAGCTGAACGTCACAAATCCAAATCCACGGGACCGACCAGTATCGCGGTCGCGCATGACGATGGACTAGACGAGTATCAGCTTATTCTTCTTACATGCGCAGAGCCAATGGCCCAGGCATCGTCCAGTAAGATATAATAGCGCACATCAAGAACCTGGCCGAATTCGGAAAATGCCTATAATTTGAATCATATTCGATAAGACAACACGAACAACACAAGAGGCAATGAGATTCCAGGTATGCAGCCCAGGTATTATACTGACTTGGCGAAGCGTGTCATCCGTCGTGTTCCAACTCAAATTGCTACACCAGGTATCAAATAACTATTAGTTGGGCTCCTCCCATCGATGATCAGGAGAAGCACTTGAGGAACACCGATACGAAGGCACAGACTGACCCAACATAAACTTTTGCAGACATGGCTAATACAATAGCAGAACCTGTAACACGAGACCTGAACGAAACCGAGACCGAAACTCAGGACGAAGGACAGTGGAGGTTGAAAAGAAGGAAGGAAGGAGGCATTCTCGATCGCAAGGGTCTTATATATACCCTCCATCCCAGATTCGCACTCCGATGTATACACCTGTAAACATTAAGGTTCAGGAGTTTGAAACTGCAGATTTGCCCTCCACTTGCGTTGGGACCTTGAAATGTTCACAGAAGGTGTATTTCTACATGAAATTCATCATTTTAAAATTTTAGAGAGAGACCCAACAATTTGTGTTGTGGGGACATGACTTCGTGCTTTTCATCACACCAGACAAACAAAAGTCATGGAATGTTCCCTCAGATCCCTCCGGATCGGCTTGACTGTTTATTCTAAAACTTCTCAAGTATATTTAAATGATATGTGAATGTTGAACTAACTTTTTTTAGAGAGCGAGATGAGGTGCTGTTTGCAGGAAGAGCAAAAGACCAAATTTCGCTCACAAACAGCCTGATAGGGATTTCAATCCATGGAAGAGCAAATTGAAATTTAGATTGAGTTGTCGGATTTGAGAAAGTGGTCAGTCACAATTCGTGCTAAGTTTCAGACCTTGAACAAACATATATGCAATGTAGATGAGTAGTACTTGGTAGCAACTTGGTAGAACGGACAGCCGACTATTTAATCGTAAAATTCGTCATAACGGTCATGAAAATCGTATCCCAACTCATAATCCACCTTTTTTACTCTTCTCCTTCTTCCTCAGCCAACCTTTGTCATCACCTTTGATGCTGCCAGCAGGACTCTCATGAGCGCTCCTGCTACTCTCACCACGTGTTCCCTCATCAGTAGACACCCTCGGAGACTGATCCCGCTTCAACCCAGGGATGATCGAGCTTGGCAAGATAGAAGACGATGAGCTCTGACGGCGAGTTGTAAGTGAGATCCTTCGCGCCAGTCGCTGGAAATTCTGGGATGAGATGCGCTTTCGCTTGGGCTCGGCGTCTACATCCGGTGTTCCGGTACGAGAGGGCTGAGAGAGAACATCGGCTCCAAATGTAACACCAGGCGTGGGGGATATCACCCGCTCTGGCTGACGTTCGGTGGTTTCCGATGTAGCCTCTGTAGGAAATTGAACCACCTGTGAGGAAACGGGTGTAACGGGTATCGGACTTGCAATGGGAACCGAAGTTAATCTGGGAACATCTGTCTCTACAGCCACAAAATCGAGTGAAGGCTCAGAAGAAGGAAAGGCTACGGGGGAAGGGAAGGCCACGGGGGTAGAGACGGCCAATGTGGAAAGATCGAGTTCTTCCGGTTTAGGCGGGTCTGTGTTATCTGGCGAATCTTCCTGAGCAATGCTAGCGGGAAGGTCGTTCAACGGATCCAACACGTCGTCCACCAATGCAGGACCTGCAATAACAATAGGATCCTCTGGTGAGACTTCATCATTAAAATCCGTGGTTTCAACATCGTAAGCAGACGCCTCCTTCTTTACACTGCTTTCACCGATGGAGACGGGAGGATCCTCAGTAGAAGAAACCTGATCGGCCCACATCGAAGCGAATATTCCATCGAGAGCCATCAGCTCTTTGTGTGTGCCCTGTTCGACGATATGGCCATCCTTAAGGACCAAGATTCTGCATTGTTGTGGGTAAAGCAACCACCCAACTACATAAAACATAAAACTTACAAGTCCGCAGAGGCAATGGTCTATCAAAATGTTCAGTGAGAGATATCAGTATGCAATCGATGAGACTAACGGAGAGGCGGTGGGCAATCGACAATGAAGACCTTCCCTTCATGAGATTCTGAAGAGCTTTCTGGATGTCTTTCTCTGTAGAGGTATCCAGTGCGCTAGGTATGATGAATTCAGGTGACTGGTCAGAAATCTGGAGATAACGTACCTTGTAGCCTCATCCAGAAGTAGAATTGGAGGATTTTTTAATAAAGTCCTCGCAATCGCAACTCTCTGCTTCTCTCCACCACTCAACCTTACACCACGCTCGCCGACTTTTGTGGCGTATCCTACGTTTCGATATAAGTAATCGCGTAACGTACGCACAAATCTCAGATTACCGTCTGGGAAGCTCATGATGCGTTCGTGCATCTGGGCGGACCTCGCGGCTGCTTCGATCTCTTCGGAGGAGGAGCCGAACTTTCCATATCTTGGCAAATGATTAACATCAGGGGCATACTTGTCAACTGAGAGGCTGACATACCCAATATTGTACGCAATGCTCGAGTTGAATAAAACGGAGTCTTGTGGCACCACACCGATCGCTTGGCGCAAACTTTTCTGTGTTACGTCCCTGATATCCTGACCATCAATCAAAATCCTTCCACCTCCATCCTGAAGGTCGTAAAATCGATAGAGCAACCGTAAGATGGTCGACTTGCCAGCCCCCGACTCGCCCACAAGAGCCACTGAAGAACCTTTAGGAACCTTGAATGACACTCCGTTTAGCGCCGTTGTTCGAAAGTCGTACGAAAAGTTGACGTTTTCTTCAGCCGACGTGAGCATTTCCAGAAACAGAGAATGGAAGATTCACACACCAAACTCTATTTCTCCAGCAGTGACCATGAGTTCTGGCGCGTTAGGCTTGTCGTTGACCTCCGTTGGTTCATTTAATAATGCCAAAAGACGTTCCGTGTCGACAAGCGACTGATTTACTGATCGATAGATGTAGCCCAGCTGATTTAAAGGTGTATACAACTAGTCCCAGGTTAGCCATAAAAGACAGGATCTAGTAAAAGATACCAACCTGTGCGAGATAGGTGATAAATATGACAAATTTGCTAGCGTGGGGTTCTCCCTTGGCGATGATCCCACGAACGACGATTAAAGATCCAATCAATAGACCGATGGTCTATAAAACAGGCAAATGAGTCGAAGACTGGCGCGGCCCAAGATACTCACGATGATGGAATTCTGGACCAAATTCAAGAGGTTCAAGGAGACTGGGTTGACGGACATCAGCACGCTGAAGACGTGGCAAGCCGTGATACGTACCGATAACCTTATATTCTAAAGCCTGGTATTCCCGAATAGCTTCCCTGTATCGGCCTCCTTCGTGTTCTTCTCCCCCGAAGTACTTGACTGTCTCGTAATTGAGAAGACAGTCAGTGTGGATTCCGCGAGTCAACTGATGCACGGGAATGAGACCATGCGATGGCAGCAATAGATAGAAACGTACAACATCACGATCATTCATCTGGCGTCTGAGCCTGGTTCTCCACTGAGTAAGAATCACGCTTGCCGCAACTAGTGGATCACGGAGATAGAGGTAAGAAGTATTCTCGATGACTGAAAACATGGATGGAAAGCAGGAAGAGACTTACCATATGCAAACATGACGAGGAAAATCACGCATGCGAGGGTCCAATCAAAGAGGATACAAAAGGCAACGAGAGCCACTAATATGTCAACAAAAGTCGGAGCAATGTTGAATAAGAGGAGCTGCCTGTCATCAGTTAAGAGAGCCAATATGATCTGAGTAAAAAGCACCTCAAATGTGTGATTGATGGCGGCACCACGGTCAAGAACGCGCAAAATTTCTCCAGTCTTACGGCGAGTGTGCCAGGCGAAAGAAAGATTCAGCAGATGGTCGAAGGATAGCTGGGACATTTCTAAAAACAAATCTGTCTGAGAAAGGGAGATTTAGTGGTGAAAGGAGTCAGACCGCTATCGGAATATTGCATCACTGGGGCCCAAAGACACTGTATTACAAGAAATTGAGATGAGAAAATACCAGTGTTACAGACATAATAACGTACGTCACGAATCGCAGCTAACCCGCCACTTCCTTGCAAGAATCGGAGGCCGACATATCCAAACAAGAGTGGCCAAGGGGATCTCTTCGATTGACCTTCAAGAACACTAACAAGTTCACCAAGAACAATCGGCATGACGGGGTTAATGACACGGCCAAGCACCAGAATGAAGATGCACAACATCTATCCTGGTTGTCAAGACCGTCGACAACAACAAAGAAAGGTTCTACATACGGCAAGCAATTGGAGGTATCCATTCTTGTGTGGCCACAAATAGGGCGAGAGCCGACGAATGCGTTTCCAAAGTTCTGCCCAAGTTGGCTCATGCGAAATTTCTGACTTGACATCAGACTTGGGAGAGTAAGCTCAAGGAATTACATGGGTATCCGACCTGCATACCTTGGAATCTGGACCAGTAGACAAGGCAGGGGTAGCTGCTCGAGTTGCTGGAGCCGATCGCTGCAAATTGGAGCGCGTATCGCGGAAAGTGCCATATTTACTTGAGGTATCTCCGACGAGTCCAGCAACAGGAGACAGACCAGTCGATGGCTGACCATTTGATTCCGGAGGCAAAAGAAACGAAGATGCAGTCGCTCCTATCCCAGGAACGTCCTCTTCTGTTTGTACAGAGGTGTACACAATGCGAGGTGACACAAGGGATGCGAACAGCGATACGAGGAGCAACACACGAAAGGCAGGAAAGGCGACATGAAGCAAAGCGGGAATTGCAATCGAAGGTTTTTCCGGAATATGAGGCGGTGCTGGGAGAGGGAGAATCAGCTCGTTGAAATGAAAATTTGGAGTGCCTATCATACCATTCTGTAAGCGAAAGCCAAGGATTACAACAAGGATAATGTCAAAAACCAAAGCCGCGCCAATGACACCCTTTATCCTTCTCAAAGACCAGACTGGAACTCCATGGATGTCCTTCCATGCTCCCAGTGCGGCCAAACCTGAAAACGCGGCAAGGCCTACGACGGTATTGATTGGAATACCGGTGTGGTGGGGCCATTGCTTGTCAATAAGGGTGTAAACAACGAAAGCGAGCCCGTCTAAAAGGAAAGTAAAAGAGAGAAGGGTCAATAGCAGGAGAATAGAAGCCCGGCGAGGAACGGTATTGGCGACGATGACAGAAGTGATGGGTGAGGGAGATGTAGGAGATGGGGCATGTGAGAAGAAAAGAGATACAGCAGCGATGAAAACGACTGCTGGGGAGAGGACTCGTAAGACAAAGACAGGGAAGGCGAGGTCAGCGAGAAACATGACTGCCGTCACCGTCGCTTCCGACAAGCCGCTGAAGAAGAGGAAGAAAACAATTTATTTTGTACTGGTACCACCACGTGTTTCTGATGTAATCCACTACAATACTCACAATCAGAAACATCGACACGAAATTTATAGAAATTCATACTTCGTCAAAGACCATCCATTAAACCTTCGAGTTTGTTTCTAACCACCTCTACCTTTTCCCCCTGGATGTCAACTCCTCCAGAATCATGTAATTTCAATACCCTCCGACAAATGTGAATAAACTCGCGAGATCCATCAAATGTGTTAGACGGGTGAGGACTGCACTGCGTGTCTTCCCGGGCCAGAATTGAAGCTACATCCAAATCAGAAGCGCGGAGGAGAGCCAAATCGCGGAGGGTATCGGCCAATGGAAGCCTGATATTTTTCGCTTTCGAAGACATACTTAGAGGAATACTTCAGAACATGCATGCCTTTGACTTTGCAATTTTGAACTCCGCTACCACACAGCCCAACTGAATATTAAAACTGCCAGCCCTATGATTTTCCTACCATGTGCAACATTGTAAAGTATATGACGTATGTTGGTTAACGAGATGGCGACGACTGAGGATATGTAAAAAGGTCCATAGCGTCGTCTGATGGTAAGTGGTCTTGTCTTGACAAGGTAGGGCATGATGGAGGTCGATATTTATCATTGGGCATTGTAGTACTCGTTCGGATTGAATCTCTTCTCGTTGGCTTTCGATGAAGGTTGGCCCTCTTCGTAAATGCATCCGCCAGAAGAGAGGAGAAATTATGAGACGGCGATTGTGTAGCTGTCAAAGCATGAACACCAAGAGGCGGAGGAACCAACCGCTTAGGATTGACGCTTGAGCGGACCTCTTTTACTGTGCAGCTGGCATCCACTGCCATTCTGCGTCTCTTTTTGGGAGGGGATCGAGTATCGCGTTTGCGCATCCAACAGCCAATCGCGGACTCCCACTCCCAGTGACAGTTCAACATGACAGGTGTCAAGCTTTCTGATTTCCCCTCCTCCAGTTGGATCGGATTTAGAGGCAGCGATTGAGAACCCATCGCTAGGGAGGGGTTGGGGCCGCCGAAACACCGGCTCTCAGCTTCATCAACAATATGAATCAACCGCTGGCGGTAATCTTCCAAGCGCGCAGGGTTAATTTTGCTTATAGCGATATCATCAGGTCCTGGTCGTTCAAGATGGCGCAACGCACAAGCCCACAAGGATGCCTCTAGATGCAAAAGGCCACTAGAACGCAATGCCGAAGCATATCTGTGTACCATCTTGTGACAATCGCGAACGTCACCGCTGGAGTAGACAGAATGAATGAGATGAGAGTATGCTGTTGTTTCCGGTACTAATCGCCGAAGGCTTTGCACAACTCTTCCTGTGTGAACTGACGTCGGAAAGAACACCAGCCACTGAGTTGATATTTTTACGACGAAGGTTGAGAGATTCAATGTAGAAATTCCAAGAGCTTGTGTCGGTATCAAGAGGGAACAAATGACGGCAATCAACTCTGAAAGAGAAAGGCAGTCCTCCAGCGCAACGTTTACACGATCCAAAGGAAAATAGCCTTTGGACAAAACGTTCACCCATCCGCATAGACTTTTGAGTAGTCCCTCGACCTTTAGCGTGTCCTCCTTCCGCTGATCGCATACCCGAACTTGTCGTGAAATGAAGTCCACAAGAGCAGTTGCCAAGTCCAGGAACGAGTGAAAATGAGTTTTACAGGCTGCTTTGCCATATACTTCAACTGCTTTCGATGCCCATGCGTCTGCGCTCGTTACAGTGCCCAATGCAGTGAGCAGAGCACTAGTAAACTGGTACTTCGAGAAGCCAGCGCAGGTCCATTGACCCTCAATATCCAGTAAGAAGGAAGAATGTAGAGGATGACACAGGGGCGGGATAACTGGCGTTGGGCGGACGGCACAAAGCAAGAGAGCTTGAAGGAGAGCTTGTGCATTGTGAGCAAGTCGGTGACTCAAGCAGAAATCGAGCAAAATGCGAAGCAACGTTGGGTGATGAGGGCATGACGCTAGAACGATTTCTACAGCGTGCGAGGCAAGAGTCCATCTGCATCGTGGACAAGTGGTAATCAGTAGACATTGTATGTTTTGAGGTTGCTAAATTCTCACCCGCGGTATTGCATAGGGACAGCTTCATAAATTTCATTGGCCTCGTCAGCATCACAGTCTATATTTTGCCCAACAACTACAGAGCAGATGGCAACAAGACTCGCAGAGGTTGGGAATTCTGTTGGTGCTGGCAATATGTTGGGCATCTTGAAGAGAATATCCCTGAAAGAGTCGCGTATGGCATAAATCTTGCGAGAGAGATCCAAAAGGTCAAGTGCATGCTTCTCGAAATGAATTCGGATACCGAGCTTATCTGGTGGGTGTAAGATCGAGAGCGGTGGGACATCAACGTGAACTGGATCCCTAGTAGAGTATGTGTGCAGAGGCGGTGGTAGATTTTGAGACTTTGCGAATGCAACGCATCTATTCCGCAGAGGTCTGAGTAGACGATTTATGGTGGTTGTGGTGAGAGTAAAGTCTACCATAGTGACAACATATTAGTGGTCAATTGAGCGAATGTCCGACAGTGGCATGTACAGTCTCCGGCCCGTGAGATCCGTCGCTCATTCACATTGCTTAGACAACGACGGCGACGGCAACAGCGACGGCGACGGCGACAGCAACATTTAAGGCCTTTCATGCATCAAATCATTTAAAAGAAACTCTCGCAACACACCTTGTGCTTCAACAATGGCAGGCCTTCTCTCTCCCGACACCGACACCTTCTCTACTCCACCAACTACGCCAGGTTTATGCACAATCAGACCCTCTCTTTCAAGACGCAGCAGCAGGCCGACCTCACTTCACATCGATCGCTCTCAAAAACCAGATATCGAATTGGAGACGACCCCTGATTTGTCAAAGTCAAAGGCCAATGACTCGCTCGCTCCCCCTTCCATCGTTCAAGATCTGACCGTTACCTCTAACCGGCCATCAGCTCATAATCCCCCGCACCAGCAGTACCACCAACCCGTTAATTCACCCTGCTTCGTCCATTCCCATCTTGATAAGGGCGCATCTCTCACAGATTGGCTGAGGAATAAGCAGCATGCTATGAATGGCTCTGATCTTGGAGTCGCAAAGTCTTTGCAACATCAAACTGGGCCTAACCTTCAACACCGTGACACGGATCCTGCTTACTCTGCCCGGACTTCTACTGTCGACAGTGATGGTGACGACGATCGTACTGAAGACGGATTTGCGGGGAGTTTAACAAAGCAGCTAGCGGAAACGGCCGTTGGCGTCAGGGAAATGAGTAAACAACTTGGTGCGCCTATCATTATGTTGTCCCAACGCCTAGTCAAGTGTAATCAATCTTAGGCCGAGCAAGAGTTCAACTTAACATTCAGAATGTTCTGATTGTGACGAAAGCCCGAGATAATAGACTCATTAAACTTACTCGAGAGCTTGCGCTTTATCTCATGTTAAAACGGAGCCGGGATCAACGAGGGCTAGTCGTGTGTGTTTATTTTTCTTGCGACACATCAGCATCTAAACACGTTCTCGTCAGATATGTTGATAACCAACTCCGCCACTCAAAGCGTTTCGATGCCGAAGGTATTCAGCGAGATCATCCAGAGCTTTTTGTCCCATTTCCCGAACGTCGCTCCTCCAGCGACCACTCTTTGTCGTCTCTACGGTCAGGGTTCACGCATAAGGAGAAATATCAGGATGAAGGTCAGCTCCGATACTGGACGAGCCGCATGTGTAGTCGTAGTCCTCATCTCTTTGATTTTGTTGTGACGGTAAGCAGATCATACTCCTGATTTGAGTCGTTTAATTCGTCTCCTTCAGCTCGGAGGAGACGGGACTGTGCTCTTTACATCCTGGTTGTTCCAACGCATCGTTCCCCCTGTACTCCCATTTGCGCTAGGATCACTTGGGTTCCTTACCAATTTCGACTTTTCCGACCATCAGGCCGTCATGGATTCTGCATTGGACAATGGCATTCGCGTCAATTTGAGAATGCGCTTCACATGTACTGTGTATCGAGCAGTCGCCAACGAAAAGGGGAAATCACGGAAAGCAGTGAAGAAGGGGGAGACGGGCGAAATCATGATGAAGAATATCGAGAAAGGAGGATGGGAAGCCCTCGAAGGCGGTTGGACAGGGGGGTTCGCTCTTGACGGCAAATGCAGCTCCAGGGATCGGGAAATCATGTGTTTCAGCACAAGACCTGTCGAAACATTTGAGGTTTTGAATGACCTTGTTGTCGATCGTGGTCCGAGTCCCTATGTCAGCCTCCTTGAACTCTTTGGTAACGTTATAGTTTCCTTTTAGTTCTATTCTAGTGTGGCTCATTCACACTCGCAGGAGATGAACATCATATGACGACGGTTCAAGCGGATGGCCTCACTGTTTCAACACCAACAGGCTCCACTGCATATTCGGTACGTTTTCTCTCCTAAATATTGGCATTTTCAAACCTTTTACAATCAAGTTGTCTGCTGGTGGATCGTTGGTACATCCGGAAATACCGGCCTTACTGATAACACCTATATGTCCGCATACGCTCTCCTTCCGGCCAATGCTCTTGCCTGATAGCATGGAATTGCGCATATGTGTACCTTACAACTCGCGGAGTACTGCCTGGGCCTCTTTTGACGGCCGTGGTCGTGTCGAACTTCAACGTGAGAATGATTTGTGATGGATCTTTACAATCGTCTGATTACTGCCTTTTCTCTCTTTCTCTATTTAGAGGGGGATCATATCAAAGTCACCGCGTCTAAATATCCTTTCCCAACAGTTTGCGCCGATAAACAGTCGACAGACTGGTTCCATGCGATATCAAGAACTTTAAAATGGAACGAGCGGGAACGGCAAAAATCATTTGTCGTCGTCGAGGAAGGTCCAGCCAAAAGGAAGAAACGTGACCAACGAAGCACACCAACAACGGAACACTTGAAAGTGGCGACTCCTCAATCTGCCGATGAGTCTCCAGCAGATGAAGAGGAGGATGAGGTTTCCGATGAAGATGACAAATTTGATATTGACGATTCCTCGGTTGAGGCGGATTCTGCGTCTGAAGCCAGCCGGGACGAGCCGCTTGGCCGTGGAGTTGCCCCAAACACAGAAAGAATTCCTTCTTCGCCCTTCGCTCGGAAAATGAGGTCGAAATCTCGATCTCGTTCGCGCGCGTCTGTTTCTCGCCCTTATCATTCTGGGGTAGATTCTCCCAGCCGGTTTGCAAGCCCGCAACCACATTTGACTCGTCATGTTGGGTTTGAGCTGCCAAAGTCTTCTTCGGCCGACTCTTCTCCTTTGTCTAATCCAGGCTTACTGGCCGCTCAACAAGGTTTCCGAGATGAACTACTTTCCACTAGGCAGAGCGGGAAAAGCGGGATTCCGAAAGATCGTGGCGCAGACACAGAGGCTGCAAAGACGCCAACAAATGCATCATTGGCGTATGGCAGGGGAAGAGGTCATTCTCGAACGCGATCCGCCGAGCACCATGCCCGTCGAGCTTTTGCTGTTTGGGGTCACGATGACAGCGACAGTAATGCCAGTGAATCTGACGCCTAAAACGACTTTATTCCTGTCATACTTTCGCTTTTTAAAGTGTGGATTTTATTCTTATTCGGATCAACGTACTACCTGGGGGGATAAAGTTTGAAAAATACTCAACCATTTACAACAGTGGCAATTCGAAAATTCGAAGCTGCCTTGTGAGCATAGTAACGCAGGTTTATAGCCAAGGTCACTTCAGAAAAAGCTAGTACCTTGTACTGTAAACCACCCCAGTGCCCTGTATTCAGGTCTGTCTTCTGCAACTGCACAAAGCCACATATTTAGTTGGGAAAGCGTAACTTCCTCAAGCCATGTGGGCAAATCCTTCCCTCCGTCGTGCAGCAAGTGAGCCGCATCAACAAGGAGTTCACATGCATCAATGGCCGCCGCACGTAAAGTGTATGCTTGGTTGAGATTGAGAAGAGGACCCCCCCGGCAGATGGGGGTAGTGTCATTGTTCGCTGATGAGGCAGGGTCCAACAGACTCTTGAGGTTGTCCTCCGAACCGGCGCCAGGGAACAAGCTAGCCAGTGATTGTGAGGATGAGATATTGATTACCCCGAGATGTATAAGCAAGGAGGGTAGAACATTATCAGCGAATACTGGAATCTGTGTTGATGAAGGAATGGGAAACGGAGGCGGGCACATGGAGCCAAAGCGAGCAGAGATCACATGAATTAAAAAAAGGGCTTTCTTGAAGCAATATATTTCTGCAAATAGTCAATATCCATAGCTCAATCGTGGGCCAAAGGTGGGGGTCACCTTGTCCGTCAACTTTTGACATATCTTGAAAGGCGGGAAAGGTGCGAATAAGCTGCATGATCGAAATAACAATCAACGAGACGCATTTCGTCCCAAACCTAGGGCACATACCCGTTCCAAAACAAAGTCGACATTAGCATTGGGTTGTGTAGGACCCCTTGAGGACTCTTTCAAAGTCTCTGCGACAAAAGCTCCAAGGTTGGGATATCCACTGCTCGCGAGGATGGTCCCAGTTTCGTTTAGGACTTTGACGATAAGTTGGACAAACCCGTACAGTGGTCCGCCAAGCTCGCCAATGGTCACACCAGGTATGGTGTCGTGGGGGCGTTCAACATGCAGAGGGATGGCTAACAGCTCAGCAATTTTGGAGTCATTTACAGCTTTCATTCCTTGAGCGGAGAGAAAGTCGCCTCGATCCGAGGAAGTGATGTAGAGGGAGAATACCAAGGCTCTGATCGAGTCCCAAGCGCCCCGTCCAGTCTGAGCATGGAGTGGTATGCAGTAGCCCGAGCCGAAGTTGAGTAAAGCGAGGACAGAAATCAAGTTTAGTTCTTCGAGATGTGAGGAAAATCTGAGAGGAAGTGCTAGGCCACGGCCACTGTTTGAGTTTTTGAAAGAATGCTGGAATGCAGGAGATAAAAGCAGGGGTTGAGGGGAGATCTACAGGGTAGACATTGAATGGCCTGGACAGGTCACTGCTGGCGTTGGGCTTACTGTAATTCCAGCTGCCTGGCGTAAGTTTCGGGATGACTGGCGGATGGCGGGGAGATATTCGCCAGTGGATGGAAAGGACAACATCTGGACAACATCAACTCTACTTAGTTTGCATCGTGTCAGCTAATGTTCCTACGTCCTTGTCTACGTCGATGCTCTCACTCCCTGGCCCCTGCATTGGATATTCGCTCGCATCTAATGGCCCAGGTAAAGGGAGCTATGAAGGTACCTTTCAATTCATCTTACATTTTTACTTCCAACTCATCCTCAACTTTCAAGAGCAAGGACGGATTCACCTCCAACACATTACGGGTTCGTCTGTTCCAATCCAGTACCCGCAACCTTTTAAATCTACCTTTCTAGTCCGTTCTCTCAGAGGTGTACGCTGCGGACAAGACGGCTAATGAGAAAGTTCCCTCTCCCATTATTGTAAGCACCTCAACTTTGCGGTTTTCCGGTGCCCCTCAGCCCCCGTCTTCATACAGGCTTCCATCATTCGCATGGCAATACAACGGCGGGTGAGCTCCCAAAATAATGTTGGTTCCACCATTTTCCTTAACGAGCAATGTTTTAGACGGAAGCTACTTCCAAGTTTGTAGACGCCTCACGTTCCGACTTGGCCGACAATGAAACACGAGAAGCAACGCTTTTGATGACCTTTTTGCCACCCCTCATGTCGGAGGTTGATGTGGATCACACTCTCAAAAACATTATTGACACTCTGACCGCTGGACGCGACGTACCCAAAACTCAGGCTCTAATTGGCCTTGTCTTCAAAGAATTCTATGCTCAGGTGGACAAATCAAATGTTGACCCAATTCAGGTTAAGAGGCGGGCACAAGTCTTGATGTCCGAAATTTCCTCTTGAATCACTACTAGTCGGAGACCTTAACATCTACATCGTTCATTCACTAGACTACCTTTAAATGAGTTACTGAAAAGATTACAAACTTCTTATTCTACTCCTGAGCCATTGGAAGAGTTGTTCGCTGTATGAGGTTCCGACTGAAGGAGTTTAGACAAAACGCTTTCCGGACTCGAATCAATGGCACTCCCATCATCATCCTCAGTTTTTTGCAACTCTGTTGGAATTGTCGAAGCATCGCTCGAATCATTGCTTGTGCTTGGAACCGCTGGGATTGGTGGCAGTACGCTGCGCATCCTCATCAAGTCGTTGATGCATCGATGTAAGGTCCCGGATACGCCCTCGAGAACCTTCAAACGCTCATCGATAGCTTCTCGGGTCAGTCGATCCATTATTTGAAGTTGTTGCTCAGTCGGTGACGAAGGCAGGACTGACACCCGAGGGTCTTGTTGACGAGTTTGTTCTGGATGGAGGTTGGGGAAGATAAATCCGTTCTCACTACGAATTGGAGGCTCCCGACGCCATGGAGGCGAGGACGTCCTTACGCCGTTCGCAGCAATCGGAGATCGATGTTGAGAAGGTGGATTTTGCAGATTGAAATTATATAGGGGGATTAGTTTTGGAGCATTTGTAGCTGACGGTGACGATTGGAGTGTGTTGACCTTGGCTGGCCGCTGAGAAGGCGATCTAGAGGCATCAAGCGCATTACCGCCAAGTCTACGTATAGCTGCGAGAGCCGCTGCATCCCTTGCTGTCTCCGGTGTTCCAGGGTCGGAGGATGTACTCGTCGGTGAATTGGATCCTGACCTCACGCCGCCAACAGAGGCGGAGGGGGTTGGAAAAGGGTCAGTGTTTTGTGGAGTCTCCGAGCCCGCAGTGGATGTAGATGATGTAGAATTGGCCTGGCTCGCCGGCCGTGATTGGGGCCATTGTTGCCAACTTCCGCCAGGGCCAGGGAGGCCAGGAAATCGAGGAACGGGCTGTCGCAGTTGGATGTGTTGAGGTTCCTGGGGAGCGTTGTGTCTGGGAAGTTGGTACTGGATTTGATATTGGATCAAAATTCCCTGAGGACCTTGACCTGCCACGACGGCATTTTGCGCGTTGTTGTTTTGATTTGCGGGAAGCGGACCTGGAGCCTGGGCAGGGGCGCCGAACAGGCGCCCAACGAAGCCGAGTGGATGGCCCAAGGGGTTATTGGCGTCCTGTGGGTTGAGGATTTGAAACCCTCTCTGGTTGGCCTGTTGAGGCGCCGCTCCTGCTACGGGCACAGCAGGAATGTCAGCGGCTCGCGGTGCGCCAGGTGTTTCAAGCACCGTACGGCGACTGTCATGAAGTAAATATCAGTGACTATCAAAGATTCCAACAAAAATGAATACCATGTGGGACAGCTTTGTTGGCGTTCGAGCCATGAGCGAAGACAGTAAAAATGAAATACGTGGCCACAAGGTAATTTCTTCGGAGTAGTGTTTGGGCCGTCAGAATTAGGTGGTGGGGCGGCCTGGAAAATCATTTCTTCTCTACAAATAATGCATGTGCGGTCACTCATAGCCCCAAGCTCTTCCTCCGTTGCATTTGGGTACCGCTGATCCATGTTACGTGTTGCCGTCTGGTATCGGTGAAGTGCTCGAAGTCTCGTCACAAAAGAACGGGCCGTTATGTACACATCTCGAATGATGTTTAGTGGCAGTCCGTAGAAAGTGATGATGATGGTGAAGAAAATGAGGTAGGTCGTCAGCTTTAGAAAATCTAATCGGGGAAAGAGTAAACTATTTCTCAGGAAGTGAAAAGATCTAGTCGCACCTGTAGCTAATTCAATATAAAATACCCACATGCTCTTGTTTTCCCATGGTGGTGCATTCTCCCCGCCCCTCCGACCCGCTCTTCGCAACTCGTATGAGGAAAGAAGATATTTGAGAATCGTGTTCATTACACTGGCCATGAGGATGGCATACTAACAAAAATGAATTTGAGATCAAGATGATATACTGTGAACGTACCTCGCTTGCGAACAAGACCATACCACCTACTCCGACTGAGATGGTATGTTCTGCAGCGAACAAAAACATAAGGCAGTCAGTGGTCCATAGCATTCCAAAGAGAATTGTCATTCGGATGTGGAAAACAACGGAGGGCCCGGGATATGGCCGTTGATCCATCTGACAAGATGTTAAGTTAACAAGAGCATGAATTGACGTTATTATACTCACCCATTCTATGCGATCCCCTGCCAGCCAGTGGAATGATTTAACAAACAGAAGGAAGCCAAACATTAGAGCAAACGAAATATCAAACTCGTCGCGGAATATGGTGAAAGCCAGAAGTGACTCAGTGATGAAGAACCAGAGGCGATCGTACAGACGCTGTTCAGTTGGATGATGAATTTTGTGAAGGTGTCATGTTAAGTTCAGGCCATACCTCCACCTCGCTGGGCCTAAGGCTTCCAAAGAATATCTTCTGCACGATATGGCCACAGAGGAGGGCGACAAGAAAGCCAAAGTTAGCCAAAGCCTTGGAGCCTACGTCAGATAGTGGGTCTGGGAAACATAGGAACGCACAAGGACGCTACGACTGCTTTTAGAGAGGTAAATAGCGACAGAGTAAAAGTTGCTGTGATTCTTCAGCGCATTTGTGATGACAGCGGCAACGGCGATTGTGGACGTGAGCGTGTACAACAGAATTCTGTTGGCGTTGAGGAAGCTAACCAACGCGTGGCTCCTTTGACGCAGGATTTGATTTAAGGGCATAGAGGAGTGTGCAAGGGCCGAAGTGGACTAAGAACAACGTCGTGAACGTCGTGGTCGTCGACCAAGAGGCACCGAGGTAAGTCGGGAGGCTCAACGTGTCCATCCCATTATGTAATACAAACAGGAATCTAATCTTATCTTCGTGTCATTCCGACCATCCGCTCAACTACTTCCTGCGCTTGATCCCAATCCAGAGGCTCATCTTCATCCTCTTCCTCTGCAGTTTTTGGAGCGTCCTCGTGTCCTGCTCCCAAACCCCAGCCACCTACGCTAGCCCTTGTCGTTGAGCTAACGAGGTCGGGACTCCTGAAATGAAGGTTGATGAATTTTTTCCAAAACGGAGGCGACTTTTACATACCGCAGAGCTTCTAAAAACTCGCGTTCACGCTCGCGCTCTACATCGGCGACATAACTAGGCCCCACCCGGGGTGTTTCATCACCAAATTTGTCTTCTTCCTGCGGAGGTCCCTTTCCGCTTTGCTTCTGCGCGATTCGGCCTCTTCTATCTCTAGGCAAACCACCTGAAAGGAAGCTCGGTGTTCGCGTTTGAGAACCAGGGACAGGATTGTACGGCTGGCTTCGGGGATCCGTGTTTGCACGGGGATTGCGCACGACACGGAGAAGATCACTGATAGCAGCCTCTCCCGCTGTGGGCTGAGGGGTAGGCGTCGTGAGCGAAAAAGTGACAGGCCTCTGCCGGCTCTGGGATGAAAGAACCAGGAGCCTGCGTATGATGTAAGTACGAGTGCAGACATAAACCAAGAGTCCTCTACATTTGCTGCAAACGCGGTTGCTGGTAAGTTACGGTTTCCTGGAATGTATCTTGTCTGTTTGGAATTGATAACCGGGCGTAAAGTCGTTGAAAGAGAGGGAGAATGACTCTGTCACGGAATGACCTTAACGCGACAGTGCGAACATCAATCGACGACGTTGAGATATGATTGAGACTTGATGAGATGGAGGCCTTGGGGCCGTTTTGACGATTGGGGGATGTAGCTCGATGGTGAGACTTCGGCGTTCTATAAAGGGAGGATAACAGAGAGTCGGTTTGCAAAGGCAAAAGCACCTGAAGGAAAATGAGTTGTAGTCATTGATGCTGAAATGGCTAACTGACTCCCTCAAGATATGTCAAAACTTGGTCCCAAAAAAATCCCCATATTTCAACCACGCGAGCTACCAATTTCTCGTCGTCGATACTGATGAGTTTCGCGTTCAAGGTAACCATCCCAGAAGCGATGAGTTCTGATGCGTCATGCTCAAGAGTAGAGAGGGCCTTGGACGGGGAGGATGACACCACAGCTTGTATGTGTCTTTTCACTAGAATATTGAGGTCCTCTCTAGAAAGAAGATAAGAATAGAAGCAACGCAACATCTAGCACAAACATTGGTATTCGGAGAGGCTCCCCGTTGAAGAGGGGCAGGACGTGAACATGAAGGGCGCCCCACGGGTCCGTCGTGGAAGTAGATGAAGTATTGGTCTGGGACATAGTACCTGGTGGGGGCAAGGCCAAGGATGCGACGGACGGGGCGGTGGACAGCTGTGGTGTAAGGGCAGACGGAAGATGAGCGAGATTTCCCAAACGATGCATTTCGCGAGAAACGAGTTTGGAATCGTACGTGCGGCCATGGGATGCCTGCATGTCGGGGTCAGCGATGATATGACATGAACAGATGGCAGACACTAGGGACCTTGGATGGGGATGTATGTGACTTGGCCGCGCTTGTCTGGTTTGTGGACGTGGCTATGGGTGTAGGTGACGATGAAGTAGAGGGCAGCGTATTAGATTCTGCACGCGAATGGCTGTGGGGGTGGAGAAGAAGACTTGGGTGGAGGGAACTCTTGAGGTTGGCGTTGCCTGCAGCGGAACTTAGGGATGAAGACAACTTGTCTGCAAAGAAACCTAGTCGTTTTGAAGAGCTAAAAACGTCTGTGGAATTTGAAGGGAGGACATTCTTGTTGGTGTCATGGTCGTTTGCAGTGCTGAGAAATTTGCTGGTCGCTGGAGTCTGACGAGGAGTTGCATCGCTGGATGTACGCTTACGAGAATCAGTGCTTTCAGCAGGAGATGCAGACCTCGTTTGGTCGTGCGATTTGCGAGGGGTATGAGAAGACCACATGCCCGCTACCGTACAACGGCCAAGGTCGCTATGGCCAGGGACCGATTCAGATTCGACCAATTTCTAAAGCACGTGAACAATAATCGTGCTGTTTGTTTCTGTTTATCTCACGCCAAACAGTCAAATTCAATGGTCGACGATTATTATCGGGCTTCAATCAATACGTAGGGACTGAAAACATTGTAAACTACAAGCCTATGTTGTTTAATATGATATATAGTATACTATTATGATTAAATTTAGTAGCCAAGTTCCATATCTGCGTCACTATCAATGTTGGATGTGTTCTCCTCTGGAATGTAGCTTTCCCATTCACTGCTCAGGTCGAGTTGAGCTTCAAGCTCTTGCTGGTTTTGAGCTCTAGACATTCGTACTAGGTGGCGCTCGATGGCTTTTAATAAAGCCTCTTTTTTGAGGTTTTTGTTGCCCAGTTTGCTTTTCACGGGGACCTCCTTGTCGATGCGTCGAAACCATGCCAATTCTAAGTCCAGCGTCGCATTTGACCCTGGTGAAGCCTCAACAGCTGACACGTCGAGGCGAACAGTCACCTTATCAAGTTCCGCATTGACCTTGGCTTTGGCTGCACTCCTCGCGCTGTCCTTCTCGCGTTTAGCTTCTACCATATCACGATCAGCCTTGGCCTGCCTTAACCTCCAGGTTTTTTCGAGCTGGCTACTGTCCCTCTCGTGTGCCTTTCTCCGGAGATACTTGAGGTCTGCATGCGTCAAAATTCAGCGGACATAACACTTTGTCTGATTTTTCTTGTGCATCTCGCGTGCATTCCGTTGGTGATTCGACATATTTGGTGCTCGACGTGATCCAACACGGAGAACACCTAGAGCCCCTTCGTTGTCATCATTAGTTGTTTTTATCCATGCGCGCTCGCATTCCTCTGGTGAAGCTAAATCAATTGCACCACCAGGCTCAAACTCCGTGGTAAAACACTTCCAGCCCTCCAATGCACCTGTAAAAAATGCAACCAAAGTGCCCCGGAGATGAGGGAGTGTATCCATCATCGCATGCACTGTGTAGACGGCTTCTGGGCGTTCCCAAACTTTACCATCTAGTGCTCCTGTTGCGCTTGTAGCACCAGGGGAAAGAAGGAGGTCAGGATTAGAAATAATTGTGTGGCAATGTTCTTTTACCCGAGTGTGGAGAGGTCCAAGGTCCAAGACATTGGTAAATTGCTTTCCAGGACCGCGCACCTGCCGCAAGTAAGGATGGCTGATGGCTTGGCTGTACAGAGACAGTACGGCAAGTTCTGTTAGGGTTGGAATGTCGTGGAGTCCCAGGTATACATTATTCTCCATATGATTTAAATTTCTTTTTTCTTTCTTGTCTCGAACCTGGGAACAACAGGTCAATGCCTGGGTAAGCACTCAATGGATTAACGAAAGTCTCTGACCTGGTCAAGAAATTTAATATACAGGGATCTATGAACAAGGAGCTCACAGGCTGCCCTGCAGTGCGATTGATAGCACGTGTTGCTCGTGTCCAGAAAAGATATCATATACCCGATCTCCTGTTCAAAAAACATCCGGAACGTATCGCCCTGTCCCTTTTTATCGTCCTTATGGTTGAATATTGCTCCTGCCAGAGACGTGAGCTTTGTTCCCCCACCCTGCGATACGGCTTCTGCATTTTCTTTGGCAGTAGCTGACCCTGAACCTGCTGCTCGTGCATTGTCCTTGTTCATCAACTTCATAGGTGGTGTAAGGTTTTCTTCCTTCCAGAATGCACCCATCGACGTATCGCCGATTTTAATTGCATTGAGTTCCTTGTGCATGCAGCACCCCACCCAAATGAACAAATTGGCAGCATGCTGCTGAGCAGCGCTCATCGCGTTAAAAGATTTCTCACCAACGTGGGAGCAAACCCGTTCATACATTGCCTTGTTTTGGACGTCTTGTTCCTGTGGAGATAATGCGTCAAATGTGTCAAGTCCTCCCACAGCCGAAACCTTTTTCTGGTTCTCTTCCACGACTACCTTGAGCAGCACCTCCACGGTCCACGTATTCGCTTCCCTCTCCCCTCTAACAATCCGCTCGCTCTCAACCTTCCACTGGCGTAATCCTCGCGCAACCTTCTTTTGATCTGGTGCATGGTCTGTTCCATTCCCTGTGAATTTTGCGGGTATCGCGCGAGGGTTCACTGGATTGATCTTCCCCCGCGGACTGTCACTATAAGTCTCGTTAAAGGTTGAGTTTGTTTCTTTCCAGCCCATAATCTGGGTTTCTGCTGTGTGATCTTTTGACGATGTGAGGCCCAGGAATCGAGTTACGCACTCAGAATCGGGGGGGTCACGATGGTCATTCTGGCTACCCAACTCCGTGGAACTTGCACCAGTCGCGTTGTACAATGTTGTTCGGTAATTGAAGTGCTTCGATTCATAGTTAACATTCCGTAACGTTGTTCCATCTCCACTCAATGTTATGTCTGAAGAAATGTGAGCTTTATCTTTGATCAGGTCAATTGACTTACTTTGCGAGTGATTAGCTTCATCAACTATTTGCATTTCTGCTGCAATACCACCCTCCAAAACTACGCTCCCAACTGTTCTTTTGCTGATTTTGTCCGGCACCTCGATACCAAAGTGTTGTGCCACAACATCGATAGCCTTCCCTACATGCTTCACCGGAATGTTGCATTCAATCAGGTTGCGAACAAGGATTCGAGCATCGTCAGTTACTACCCCGTCCTCCTTGAGGCGACGTCTTGAGGTTAACGCAAGTGCATCTACAACCTCCGCTGACTTCGATTTCGCAGTCAAAGCCCGGGAAGCTTTCATTTGAAGGGCTTTGTTTTGTTTGCAAAGGTGTTCATTCGAGTCTTGAAGGTGAGACGTCGTTTTGGCAGTTTCCTCTTGTTGTTTCTTGATTAGTCCCTCCATTTCCCTTTGTGCCACCTTCATCTCGTCCCGTTCGGCCTCCATCTCCTTCAGCTTTTCCTCAAGCATCTCCTCCTTGACTTTCCTTCAATTATCTCGTCGACGGTTGTTATCGCGTTGACGGCGTGCGTCAGTAAGCAGGTTCTCGGTCTTCTGGAGCTGCAACTGCATCACTGAAAGGTCGCGCATCAGGGAAAGTTCTTGCAGTGAGTGCTCTGGTCTGTTTTCCTTGTCGGAGTGGATGTTGCGAAGATTCATTATCACCTGGGAAGTCTGCAACATCGATCGCGACTTCCGGCCCAGTTTCCACGTGTCTTTGCCCATTATACAAAGGACCTATGGTTGACGAGTGAATGTATGCAGAGGTGACGACGATAACGCGTCGCCGACGTCGGTAGTCGCGCTTGAATCGCGCTTTCATTACTTTGTTTAATGAGACACGTGATCATCGACGCGTCTTCTACCATGCCATTCTCCCGCCGTGGATTGCTGCTTCATTTGTCAAGCAATTCTTTCAAATTTTTGCAGGTACGAAGGGCTGGAACCTGGGATGGATTTGTTCAGAACAGAATTTTATAGAGGGGGTTGCAAGGCTTGAAATAAGAAACCAAATGGCGGAATATTTGTATTACTGATCTAAATTGTTCATGTCCACCTTGACTTATACTCCATCTACATACATCTGCACTTAAATTGGTATTTTACTGTTGTGTCGAAGTAAATACGAGGAGTCAAGACGATCGACCATTTCTTGATGAGGTCTTTGGTGATGGGAAAATACGGCGGAGTTGAAAATTTGGCAGTGGGTTGCCGCTCCCCAAGAGTAGCCGTCATGGGGAGGCACACTGCCTGTTGAGGTGCCGGTTTGTTTGTACTTGTTGTTTTCTTGACATTGTCTTAACATTCATGGTTAATCAATATTTCGAGATGAATACACCCTCTTTAATTAAGTTTTCTGACATCAAATTAAAAAGTGACTCCACTGGGGGTCTTTACTTTGATTTTTTTAATTTTGCACATATAACCCTTAATCTATCACCAAAATAGGTTTGAAGAAAGAAATAAAAAAATTCAAAGCAAAGACCAGGAGCAAGGGTCAAAGAATGTGTTGAAGTGTTCAGCAGGCCAGTAATGGCTGTGAGGAAAGAGCAAAAGTGTTTTAGTTCGTTCACACCAAAACTCAATAAGTGATTATGTAATATGTGTCTTGGACACATCACAAGCTCATAAAAACATGTCTCAGAATGCTCAAACAACTTAATACTGAGAATTTACCGAGATCTGGTCACGTGCTCTTGGGATTCCACCTGCTGACATATAATATGATATATTCTTTGTTTGCATTCCTGTCCTGCAGCCAAACAGCCACACCTCGGGGTGCCTGCTCGTCGTTGTTGATGCCGCCTGCCCTCTTCCCTCCTGCTTACCTCGCCAACAAAGGGCGCGGCGTGCGGACCTGGACTGCTCCTTGGCCTGGGAGCTTGGAACAGAGGACGTTGTGGGCTGCATTTTTTAATCTGCCCCCCTTTTGTCCACTTGTAGTTAAATAACATGTGTTGTGCTTTGACATAAATCAATCCATCAGAACATTTGTGAAAGGATGCGCGCCTCCTTGCAGCAATGCGCCCTCTTTCTTTTCGTCTTGTTTTCTCATGTCGTCGTCCTCCCAGCCTCCGTGTGCCTCCTTCAAGGACAACTTGGGAACGAGTCTGACACCAACCTTGGTGAACTTGATGGAATAGGATATGAATAGAATACCATACAATATTGAAAGCATGTACTAGAAATATAAGATAGGTAGAATCAATTGATACATGGAACTACAAATATGCTAATGGGAAGCAATGATCTCTGTTAAGAGCTGGAACACACATGGCACATGCACACCAAATAGAAGCAATGTGTCGCGTCGCATCTGTTATTGCAATTCTGGTTAAGTGGGCCTTCAATACCATTGTAATCCCTGTGGCCATAAATACTATATATACACATTTTTTCAAGGCTTTTTTCGTCTGAAGGGGGATCCCAGCCATCTGTGTTATGAAACCAGGTGCACATAGGAATTAACACAAAGGAAACCAACAAGTAAATAAGGTGGGTAAGTAGTGGTAAGAAGCCATAAGAACTTACCCACCCAGAATTTACAGTAAATCAGGTTCAATTTACAGGGATTTACAGTGAGCTGGTGCAGTACAGGAGCCGAATGATTGAAATTACAACGAGCTGGACCCTAGTGATTGATTTACGGTGAGCTGGCATGCTCCAGAACCCTGATTTATGGTTGGCGAAGTATTTCATCCCTGTAAATTCTGAAGTGCATTGTAGATCTCCCTAACCATGCCCATTATGAGTCCTTATGAGTTTACGAGTAAGACTCATTCTTTATCAACTGAGGACTTAGGCAAATTTTTCATTGATTGATTGATTCATTTACCTTTCATCACCATGGGAACCTTTTCCCTTAAACAGAAAAGCAGCCATAAAATCAGGAAAAATGGTAAAAGAAATCAGCAAAAATATGTAAAAAATCGGAATATTGTTTAGTAAGGTGGGGAGGCTGTGTTCAGGGTTCAGGGTCAATATCTAAATATAGAAACCACCTAAAAGTTGCCAGAAAATCAGAAAAAAATACCCAAAAATTAAGAGTGATCTTCTCTGTTGCCATGGTGTTGAAGGGGCTGTGTCCAGTATTCAGGGTCCATATCCAAGTATGGAAAATCAAGACAACTATGTAAAAATATTGTCATATTATGCAATATGGCTACAGCCTTCTTGCTCTTTGAGATATTGCATGACAATTTCCAAAAAGTGTCCAATTTTTTCAGTATTTTGTGTTTTTCTCAATGAGGAATGGTCTGCATGACATTATTTATATATATCTATAAAGGTAAGGAAAGGGGCTACAATTATTGTTTATGGAGCTAAGTGAGAGGCTGTGTTTCTGATACCATGGGAATTTTAACCCAAAAAAGGAAATTCATCACAAATATATAGAGCATGCTATTATAGGTCACAAAATATAACTAACCATCCTCTTTCCTGAGATATATGCAAACAGGACTGTGGGAATATTTTACCATAAACAGAAAAATAGTTATAAAATTGGGAAAATTTGCTATAAAATGAAAAAAAAAAAAAAAAAGAATACCACACATTGTTGCTATGATATTGATGGCTAGGCTCAGAGCTCAGGGTCTATTTGCAAATATAGAACAAAACTCAGAAAATCATAAAGTGATTACATGACCAATTTCCTAATATTAAATTTAGAGTCCACAGAAAGGACTCATACATGCCATGCAAAGCACTGGCCCACACCCACAAGTTCAGAAGCTTGGCACTTCCTTCTTCCACTCATAAACAAATGATATCAAAAACTTGTGAGGATTCTAAACAACAAGACACTAGAACACAACATGAAGGACCACATAATGTTAACACATACGAACATGACGGTACAGTGCATCTTTTGAACAAACATGAGCTGCAAGTATGCATATCTGCACACTCCAAGTGAGTAAAGGGAATCACAGAAAGTGTGCTGATGAAACTGCCTCAGGACCCGCTCAAAACGCCCCCATGGAATGCTCAGAGCTTCCCAAGCGAAGGAGCAGACATACTCTGCCCAGCAGCCCTGTTGCATTTCCTAAGCATTCAGGCAAAGTCCACTTGCCTGCACACGGCGCTGAGCCTGCTCCTCATACTTGTCAGAGCTAACTAAACGCCATCAGCACCCCTCAATCACAACAGGAACAATAAAAAACTCACAAGTTAGCCCTGGCAGCACTAACAAGCATTGCAAGCTCCCTCTGACCCTCACTCTTCACTTCCTCAAGAGTGACTACGATGGCCATCTTCTTGTGCACAACTGTTCCAAGAGACAAGCTTTACCCTTCAAGATGACAGAAGGGACACCCAGTTTGTGGCCACAGGAGCTCGATGGGGTCAACATCGTGCACAATGATGATGAGCGCAGCCTTCAGGTGATGATGTTAGAGGGGGTGGGTAGCAGACAACCATGGAACTACGCTGCTGATACATGTGCCAGAAAGCAAGCAATCCATAAAGGGAATCGTGTAGAGGAAGGTGAGGCGTGAGTCAGATACTTGAAATAGAGTATGTGTCAATGGAGTGTGTCACCAGGGAAGAATGGAACTCATATGGCGTGAAGAAAGTAGGACATCGTTACTTGCCTCATGGTGTATGAGACGGAGACGAGGGCGAGTGCAGTGAAACCAGGTAATGGAAGCTGGCTCGTCTGACACAGGTGAGGGGGACTGTTGGAGAACTAAGCTTGGGATGACTCTGTTTTGAGGCTGATAAAGGGACAATGCGAGTTTGAAAGTGTAGACGGAATGAATCACATACTTACCATTGCTCATGTAAAAGGATTGAGTCTCCTCTTTCTCTCCATCTACACTCCATTAACAGTGTGGGCCTTCTCTGTCGTCGTAGCACTGTGTGTCCTCAGTCAGCTGGGCAGGGCCTGGAAGGCGATTTCAAGGTGATGGAGGTTGTTGCACCTATGTTTGGCAATCAAAATGAGTAGGGGACTGGTGGACAAGTGGGGAATGTGCAGGTGGCAACAAGTAGTATGGGTGCTGCTGGGTAGCTATACCAAGCACAGACCAAGCACAGACGAATGGTTAGTTGATGGGATTGATGTGCCGCCAGGGACGTTAAGCGAGGAATCCAGCAGAAGGCGATTTTACAAAATTTACGGTACCCCTGTAAATTGGTATGAATAAAGTGACTTATCGCTCTTAATCAGTCTATGCTTATAGTGTGGGCCAGTGCTTTGCATGGCATGTATGAGTCCTTTCTGTGGACTCTAAATTTAATATTAGGAAATTGGTCATGTAATCACTTTATGATTTTCTGAGTTTTGTTCTATATTTGCAAATAGACCCTGAGCTCTGAGCCTAGCCATCAATATCATAGCAACAATGTGTGGTATTCTTTTTTTTTTTTTTTTTTCATTTTATAGCAAATTTTCCCAATTTTATAACTATTTTTCTGTTTATGGTAAAATATTCCCACAGTCCTGTTTGCATATATCTCAGGAAAGAGGATGGTTAGTTATATTTTGTGACCTATAATAGCATGCTCTATATATTTGTGATGAATTTCCTTTTTTGGGTTAAAATTCCCATGGTATCAGAAACACAGCCTCTCACTTAGCTCCATAAACAATAATTGTAGCCCCTTTCCTTACCTTTATAGATATATATAAATAATGTCATGCAGACCATTCCTCATTGAGAAAAACACAAAATACTGAAAAAATTGGACACTTTTTGGAAATTGTCATGCAATATCTCAAAGAGCAAGAAGGCTGTAGCCATATTGCATAATATGACAATATTTTTACATAGTTGTCTTGATTTTCCATATTTGGATATGGACCCTGAATACTGGACACAGCCCCTTCAACACCATGGCAACAGAGAAGATCACTCTTAATTTTGGGGTATTTTTTTCTGATTTTCTGGCAACTCTTAGGTGGTTTCTATATTTAGATATTGACCCTGAACCCTGAACACAGCCTCCCCACCTTACTAAACAATATTCCGATTTTTTACATATTTTTTGCTGATTTCTTTTACCATTTTTCCTGATTTTATGGCTGCTCTTCTGTTTAAGGGAAAAGGTTCCTGTGGTGATGAAAGGTAAATGAATCAATCAATCAATGAATGAAAAATTTGCCTAAGTCCTCAGTTGATAAAGAATGAGTCTTACTCGTAAACTCGTAAGGACTCATAATTTCTACCGATTTTACGCTCGCTATGCTACACCTAGTGACCTCATTAATGAATTAGCATCCCATTTATCATTAGAATTGTTTGCCTCAGTGACAGCAGTGATTTCATCATCAATACCTCAGGGTGTTGAGCCTGCACAAATATTATCAAGGTCAGTGATGTCAAAAACTTGTTCAAGAGAAACATCTGCATTGATTCTGTTGCCTTTGCCTGTTGGTACCTGTTCTTCCAGCTTGTCAAATTCCACATCAATATCTTCTTCAGTCAACTCCTCAAGCCCCTCAAGGTCACTGTTGAAATTGGCTAGGAGGGGAGTCCAATTGAATGCCCATACTAAATCCTCTGCTCTTTCCACATTAATCCCACCATCAGCTTGAGTATGCATATGTGTGTGCTTTTGACACATTGATTTTCCTGTGTTAATTGCATCCTCCTGCAGTTGGCATGTGTAATGATTTTGTAGTGTTCCCAGTGTCTCCATATGAGGTACTGTGAGACAGGAATGCTTGACACTTTGGACGCCGCCAAGGTTGGAAAAAAAGTGCTTGACCTCAGCCACATGAGGAACAATGCTGAATAACTTGATTGCCAGGCCTTTGAGAGGGTGGGAAGTGACATTCATGAGGAGGGACTTCCACCAATCCCTTCCATCAGCTTTCCCTCCCTGAAATGGAGTGTGACTGTGAAAGTACCCTTTAATATCCCTGAGCAATGCTGTTGCCATCTCCTTGGTCCAACCCCAACGTGATGCAATGTCGAGAGATATTTTGTACATGTCCTCTAGTTTGCGCAAGTGATGAGAATTTGAGATAGCAAGTTTTCAGAGGGGGTGGAGGAATAGGCTAAGCCAATGGAGGTCAGTGTTCATATGGTGGAATTGAGTATTCAAAACCTGCTGAGCATGTTGCAGGAATCCTGAGTCATCTCCAGATTTGAGGGGTAATCAAGTGACTTCA